CAAAGACACATGGCGAACATCTCCGGCACAGATACTGTGCCCCGTACTGACACAATACTTCAGGAGGAAACACGCATCTGAGTGAGTCAAGTCAATAGACAACCCTTAAAGTAGCACTGTAAGTCCACTAGGCATACGGAAGACAAAAAAACATACACTCCCAAGCCTGAAAGGTCCAGGGCACACAAGACATCCAGTAAGGCATGGAACGACAAGCCGCAACAACGGACACAGGATGGAGGGCACGGGGGAGGCGGGTGGGCAGACAAACGACACAAGACCAGCCAATAAAAAGGCAAGCCAAAGAGCAACAAAACAAACAAACAACAAGAGAAAGGCCCAAAAAAGACAAATTGAAAAAAGAAAATAAAACTGATGATAGATTGTTTCATCGGAGTTGCACCGACTCATCAGGAGGCTGAACCCTCGACAATCTGCGGGAATCACCGTATTAGATGGTTTGGGTCATGAACCCTTTGACCCTTGTTGAAGGCAGACTGTACCTAAGCGGAACATAGCAGCGGGCGGCGACCCTGTGGAGCACCAGGCAGCACAGTAGAGGCAACACGGCTGCACAACGCCAAAAACAACTACAAGGAAAGACATGGCACACATCGCGGAAACACGGAAGGCACGGCCAGCGGATGAGCAGCAAGGCAGCAGAGTAGCGAAGCGCAAGGCAACACCAACAACATGGCCACACCACACAGCGAACACAGCAATATGCAGAAAGCCACATGTGAAGCCAGCAGGACAGGCAGCAAGGCCGCGGTGGAGCGCCGATGAGGCAGTCCACACATCCAGCACTGAGCAAAGCAGCGCATGACCTACTCACATCACGATTGAACCCCTCAGACTGTTGGTTCCCACTACCCACTGAGCCAGGGAGTCACTCCGACGAGCATCCGTCATCACCCTTAGGCAACACAGACAATCCGGACTGAGCAGCCCCCATAAGAGTGCAGTACGCACTCCAAACGAGGAACCACCGACTGTTTAGCACTACTTGAGGGTGCTCCGTTGGGCACACAAAAACTACTTAGAAAAAACTCAGGAGGACGGACAACAGGAGAAAGACTAACAGACATACAACTGATTGTGTGTGTGTGTGTGTGTGTATGTGTGAGAGAGAGAGAGAGAGACAGAGAGACAGACACACACACACAGAGAGAGAGAGAGAGAGAGAGAGAGAGAGAGAGAGAGAGAGAGAGA